CGCCACTGCGACCGCTGCGACAACCCCTTCGCCGAGGTGACAGCGGGCGGCTGCGAAGGTGGGCACCGCACGGGAGCGCTGTGCCACCGCGTGTCACCTCCTGTCACCTTGTGTCACTTCGTGTCACCTCCTGTCACCTTGTGTCACTTCGTGTCACTTCGTATCATGTTGTGCCGCTTTGTGTCACCTTGTGTCACTTTGTGTCACCATAAGTGTCCTCTGTCACCCTGTGTCAACCACCGTCCCCCCTGTGTGCCCTGCTGTCCCTCTGTGTCCTTCTGCCCCCTGGTGACCCTACTGTCCCCCGTGTCCCTCTGTCCCCCGATGAACCCGCTATCCCCCTGTGTCCCACTGTCCTCTTGCATGCCCTGCTGTCCCCCTGGTGACCCTGCTGTCTCTCTGTGTCCCTCTGTCCCCCTGGTGACCCCGCTGTCCCCCTGCATGCCCGCTATGCCCCGGTGACACCCTTGTGCCCGCAGTGAACTATGACAGCTGTCCCCGGGCCATCGAGGCCAACATCTGGTGGCCCCGCACCCGGTTTGGGCTCCCGGCGGCTGCACCCTGTCCCAAGGGCTCTGTGGGTACGTGGGGACACAGGCACAGGGTGGGGTGGCACTGGGGACACTGTTGTGGCATTGCTGGGATGGAGCTGGGGGGGGTGACAGAGTGGTGACACCACTGGGATGGGATTGGTATGGTGACACTGTGGTGGCAGCAGTGGGACAGGGCTGGGGGGGTGACATGATGGTGGCACAGCTGGGATGGGTTTGGGGTGGGATGATACCATGGTGGCATTGCTGGGGTGGAACTTGGGAAGGTGACAGAGTGCTGGCACTGCTGGGGCAGGGCAGGGAGGTGACACTGTGGTGGCACCACTGGGATGGGATTGGGGTGGTGACACTGTGGTGGTACCAGTGGGACAGGGCTGGGGGGTGACATGATGGTGGCACAACTGGGATGGGTTTGGGGTGGGATGACACCACGGTGGCATTGCTGGGATGGGGCAGGAGGGAGTTGTGGTGGCATTGCTGGAGTGGTACAGGGAGGTGACACCGTGGTGGCACCTCTGGGATGGGGTTGGGGTGGTGACACCATGATGACATTGCTGGGGTGGAACTGGGGGGTGACAGAGTGGTGGAATTGCTGAGGTGGGGTTGGGGTGGGATGACACTGTGGTGGCATTGCTGGGACTGGGCAGGGGGCTGACACAGTGGTGGCACAATTAGGATGGGCTTGGGGCAGTGACACTGGTGGCACCTCTGGGATAGGTTTAGGGTGGTGACTCTATGATGGCATTACTGTGATGGGTTTGGGGTGGTGACACTGGTGGCACTGCAGGGTTGGGGTTGGGGTTGTGACACCATGGTGGCACAATTAGGATGGGTTTGGGGCGGTGCCACCACGGTGCCACCACGGAGACCGAGTCGGGCTGGGCCGACCCTCCCGGCCCCCCCCAAGATGGCACTGGGGGGGCACCGCTGTGATGGCACTGCC